CCTAACATGGATCTTTGTCTAAAGATGGAACATTGGGCAATGAACGCGCCTTATTTGTGGTAGACTCAGCTGAAACTACAGTACCTACTGCTATTTCAGTTTAAAGGGACCCTCCCACCTTCAAAAAAGTTAATGAATTGGCATGAAAGTGATGTCCCTTGGTTCAGAAAGAGCGAAAACGAATATCAACCAAATTTCACTGAAAAATATTCACTAGTTTTCAAGATATTAGGCTTTTACTTTTGTTTACTTTTTGGGATCTCCCTGTTACTAGCGACTTTATTTGGAAGCAATAATTTGGCAGCCTTAAAGTGCGGCAGACTTTGCGCGCCAAGCAGCATATACCACCACGTGTTAACGATGGTTTTAGTCTAAGATTTTAAAATCGTTAGATCTCCGCTGACGTCACAAATTCTAAGGGGGCATACCAATGCATTAGCCCCTTAGAATCCGAAAACTGCAAGTTTGAAATTCCATATCTTCGAATTCAAGCATTTTTCGATGTTGTGAGTGCCCAAACCGGTATTTGCAGGCCATGGCCACCAATTTGGCTATCTCAACTCAAGTCTCAAAACTAATGTTAAGGTGGGAGGGTCCCTTTAAAACTCCATGTTTAAAATGGTTTATTTTTTTTTACATTTTGATTTCTCTCGCTTTTCAGAGTGATTTGAAATGCTGTTATTGTGATGACTTTCAGCACGATAACTTGTTTCATTTTAAAGCACACATGCAAAGTCATATCAACAATGGCATGCCTGGGATGGATTGTCCTCTATGCACAAAACATTATAAAGAAGTGCGTTATTGGCAGGCATCGGTAAAATCCCTTTTGAAAGGATTGCATTCCCAATCCACATTCCTAGTGTCGAAGTGGATTGCATTCTTACCCGCAATCCCCTTTTTTCACTTGGATTGTGATCAAATCCGCAATCCTTTTTTGCAATCCTGTTGTATTATTATGTGCACTAGTGGATCTGGGGGAGGGAGGGGGGCATAGGGCCGTGCCTCCATCCCCAAATCACCCATTTCTAGTGCCTAGTCTTGCGAGTAATTCCTATCTAAGGCTCAGGTATTTTATTGGAAATATTTTTTGCCTCAAACACCCCCACATTTAAACCTCTACCCAACCAGTGTTTTATATTTCTAAAACTCGCCCTCAAATACGTAATGTTGCCCTTCCTATGTAGTTCGTCAGCGTATATTATTTTGAGCATTTAAATTAAAAGCGTTTAAATTATTTCAAGTTTCGATGTAAAGCCCTTGATAGCAAAGTACATTAAGCCGATGAAGCCGATCTCATAATTTTCAATCGCAACAAACCATTTCAAAGCACTAATCAAACAAAATCCGGATTGGATTGCAAAAATTGGAAGTATGATGCAATCCAATCCGCAATCAAATCCTGTTTTTTGGAATGGATTTCAAATCCAGGTGCAATCCACCAAAAAGGAATGCAATCAGGATTTTGCAATCCTGCAATCACAATCCTACCGATGCCTGGTTATTGGACAAAACACTATCAGACGGCTCACCAGTGCTCATCCACAAGCGAGGACAGGGTGGAGGATCTGCGGCGAGCAGGCGCCATGAGAACAATTGGCACTGCAGAAGTTTCTGGAGCAGTTGCTGCTGATGACTGCATGGATGAAGCGACTGCAGATGTTGCTGATGATGTGACACAAGATGCACTGGATGAGAAGCTCGCAACAGAGAAAGTGTCACATTTTTTGCTTAAGCTCAGGGCTGAACATGCACTTTCTGAAGAGCTGATTGGTTGCATTTCAGCAAACATGCTGGAAATAGCAGAAGATGTTGCAAAACACTGTTCAAAATTGGGTGATCCTGATGCACCAGCCTCTGCCCCCGCTGTCTCTGATGAACCAGCAAGTGTGACTGCTCTGAAGAACTTTATGATCAAGGGTCGTCTGGTTAAATATGTCAGGAATTACATGCCTTATGTGGGACCAGAAAGCGCAAAGGTGGAACGAGATGGGCGAGAGATGACTCTGTACTTTGTGCCCATTAGCAAGCAGTTGAAATGTCTTTTTGATTCAGAAAAAGTGAGGCCGGAGCACAACAAAGCCACTACTCTCACGCTCTACCTGGACGAGTTTGGTACTACTGATCCTCTGCGAGGGAAGGTCAGCCAGAACAAGCTACTTGGGCTTTACTTTAGAGTGGATTCTGAAAGGCCTTCCTCAAAAACTGACGATATCATGCTTTCTACGTTGATCAAGTCAGATGCCATCAAAACATATGGCCTGAAAACCCTGCTCGGTCCAGTGGTGGAAGACCTGAAAAAGCTACTGGATGACGGATTGATGTGGCATGGCCAGGCGAGGAGAGTGAGCATTCGCTGTGTGTGTGGAGACAACCTTGGAATTCATCAGATGGCAGGATTTCAGGAAAGCTTCTATCTAGGGCCAAGACCTTGTCGATTCTGCAAGGCAATGTACCAGGACTTCAAAACAAAGCTAACTGCTGCAGACATTGAGCTTCGGACAGGTGAGGAGTATGCCAGTGAAGTTCGTCAGGCTGAAGAAGATGGATTCTCAGAAGATGCTTCCAGGCTACATGGCATCAAGGGAAGGTGTGTCTTTGACGAACTTACTGGCTTCGATGTTACTCAGAAGTTCCCACCAGATGTTGCGCATGACATCTTTGAAGGTGTCCTGCCCAAGCTGATTACTCTGATTTTGACACATTTGATCGTGAAGCTGAAACTGTTTTCAGTGCACATGTTCAACCGGATGTTGTCAAGCTTCAAGCTGGCAAGATGTGATTCTGGGCACAAGTCGGCTCCAGCACGGCTGCATGGGGGACAGGTGAAGATCAAGATGACTGCTGTCGAGTGCTGGACGATGGGAAGATTGCTTCCACTGATGATCGGAGCATTGATCCCTACAGATTTGGAAGAGTGGTCTCTTTTTGTTGAGTTCCTGCAGATAGTTGAGCTGGTGTGCTCGCCAGTGGTGACATCCACTTTGATATCTGACCTGCAGTTCAAGGTGGAAGCATGGCTGGCAAAGTTTGTTACAGTTTTCCCAGCTGAAAAAATGACTCCCAAGATGCATTATATCATCCACTATCCAAACGAAATGAAGAAACATGGGCCCCTCCGACAATGCTGGACGCTATCCTTTGAGATGAAGCATCAACTGTTCAAGAGATTTGCCAAACAAATGAAAAGCAAAAGAAATGTTTGCAAGATGCTGATCGAACGGCACCAAGAAAGAGTTGCCTTACTGCTATCTGCTCCAGCAAGCAAATCAAAGAAAGTGCGAGGAGCAAAACAGAAGTGGGAACAGCTACAAAATGTCGTGAACGAAGTTGATCTGTGTGAAAGTAGTGAGTGTTACAAAAAACACTTGGTAAACGGCGTCTGCTACCAGTATGACGACGTTGTCATCGTTAGATGTTCGTCTGGGACAGTCTGCTTCTTGCAAATCAAGCTCCTTGAGGTGCCTGCTGGTATGACTGAGGCTACTCACCTCATCGGAAATGTTTTGCACGTGACTTCTTACATCAAGCACTTCAACAGTTTCGCAGTCAGACGGGACACAACTGTCAGCATCCCAACCGGGGAGATCATGGACTTTCAAGCACTCGGAGTCTACAATGTGGGACAGCGTATATTCGTTCCACTTCGTCATGCCTGCAGAAGTATTTGTGACAGTCAAGCTGCTGTAAGGTCCTCAGATGGCAACGGCACTCTTCCAGAAGGCAGTGGTGCTAGCGAGCATTGAAGAGTCCTGCCGGGAAATAACAGCACCAAGAAACCGTGCCACTCTACTGCTGAGTACGCCTGAGGTCAGTGACGCGGCAGTCCTCTTTTAGGGAAAATCCGTGTAGAAAGTTCAGGGGCCGTCCGAAAGGGAAAGAAAGCTCGTAAGCATATTATCGTCATAAGAGGGCTTAGCATATTTTTCGCCAAACTTTCATTTTTCACTTTTAAAAGCTCATGATATGCAGAATACCTTTTGAATGGGTAGCTAACAAGCGGCTGCGTGGTAGGGAAAAAATTGCGGCACCAGCCAATTTACTTTCGAATGGTGTTCGATTCAAATCGATATGTCGTCTAGAAGCATAGATAATAGATATGGACGGAAATGTGAAGAGAATTGAAAAAAGAACTTCTGAGGGCTTTGCTGGATAAAATTTGGCTGATACGGGGTCAAGACGGGTCAAAGGGGTCAGCCCCGGTCACTGGGTCAGGCCAGGTCACATAGGTCACCTCTCGTCCGATGGGATCAGCCCGGGCCACTGTTCTACTTTGCCTCCACCACTACCCACTACCGTTGTTTGTGGTTATGGGGATGTTTATAGTGTTGCATTGCATTATAGTGTTATTTTTAAGCTTTGCAAGTAGGACCGCGATGGTAAAATTTCAGTGAAAAAAAAATTGAATAAAACGATTTAACGTCAATGTCAAGGCCATCTATAGAAGGTACAGTCACTCCCCCGCCGACCAATCAGAGACAGATCCTGAGTGACGTCACCCCTGATGCTCGCAAGGGGTACTCCATTCCTTTGCAACGTAAAAATGACTAACTTCATTTGAAGATTATTGATGGCACTCTACACATACCGCTCAGCCGTTGATGTCAATGGAAAGCCCAACTAATTTTCCAGCGACAAAAAAGAGCAGCAATATGCTAAGAAATGGCCGGTTTTGAAGATATAGACGATTTAAAAACCCTCTGCAGCAGCAGGAAAGCAACGTAAAAACGCATCGAGCTTATATTTTTACTATGGATAATTCATTTTTAAGTAAGTTTTTAGATATGCTATAGATTTAAGTTACAACTTTATTACAATATTTTCATTACTTGGAACTTTATTTCAAAATAATATTTTCAAAAATGGCAGTTGTTGGCCAGTAGCTTGGGAGCGATTGTGGCGCACCGCGCCATTAATTGTCCTGAGACCCCCTTATGATGTCATCAAAAGTGGAGTGACATGGGCCTGGTCAATGTCATAACCAGTTAACCATTTATCACAATGTGCTTGCTTACTGATAATGCGTCGATGGTTGCGGGTGAATATCTTGCAAGCTTAGCTGGATAGTGGAATGTTTGGTGCATGAGAACAAAAAGCTTGGTTGTTGTTGTGTCTGCTGTTGTTTTGACATTAGCTGTTGTTGTTGTTTTTTTAGGCGAACGAGCAGATGTAAGTTGGTGTCAAGTACCTAGTCAAGACTATCGGGAGCTTTCCTCTGAACATTCAAAGACGAACATTAAGCTTTGGTACAGATCACGCGTCGACATGGTAAGTGCACATGCGATAAAAGCGATGCACTGCATGAGCTATCTGTTTTACCCGTTTTATTCTTGATTGTGAGGGTGACTTCAAACATTATTGCATATGTATTTGTTTTATAACTGGTCGGATAATGTCAGTACACGAGTTCGGACGACTTTTGCATGACCCTACTGTTAACGCCAGACCCGTTGAGACCCTAATTTTTCGCGATTATTTTTAAATGCGTGGACTAATTTCAACCATATTTAAGAAATACCTGTTTCAAGACCTGCCGAAACTTTTTCTTCAAATACGTTTTGTTGTCATTTAAATATTTGTGGCACTTGTCATTGACTCGTAATGTTAACTGTTTTTCCATCCTGGATAGAGGCTTTCATACGTCATATGACATTAGGCTCCGCCCACGACTGCGGCATTGACCCGTGCCCATCAGCGACGTCTGTACACACGACACCTCTGCCATCTGTAAAGGACTATGAATTTCGCTGACGCTTCACGTGCTATGTATCAATTCAAATTGCAGCAGACAGTCAAGTAAATGTTAGGCTCTTGTTTACTCTCGTATATAGGACCAAGAGAACCATCACTCCTCAACCTACTACTCACACATGCTTCGAACAAACGTTAAAGATTCCTAACAAATACGATTTTCGATGTAGGATATATGTTTGAAATACGAGCGAGCCTTATGATGTGAAGCGAAGGCAATTAACTAATTATTGCGTTGTTCGATGGTTGTATAGCGAATCGATGTACAAATCAGCAACTACTTGATGACATACGACATCCCATTAGCACATTATCTTCAACGCCATAGGCTTTAAATACAGGTGAATATTTCCTAACCTTATGTCAGGTAGGTATATTGATATGCCATCTGCCCGTCATTTGCAGCTTATGAAAAAAAAAACAAATATCAGCGAACCTATCAGCATTGTACAAACAATGCGCATTGAGCATTTATGGCTCCTCAGTCATCATGTCGCTCTTTGGGCACTGTCAGACAAGACGTTACGCACAGCTCCGCCGGCTTTCGGCACCGCTCGACCGTCCCCGCTCCCCACCACAGCGCGAGTGACCGCGCGCCGGCCCGAAACCGCCGCAGGCCAAGACCACAGAGGCGGGGCTTAGCTTTGACGTCATAACGTATCACAGACTGACTGGTGATAGCCTCTACACACCGGGTGAAAATCTTGCTCGAAATTTAACATTACGAGTCAATGAGAAGTGCCTGAAATATTGAAATGGCGACAAAATATCTAAATTGTAAAAGTTTCGGCAGGTCTTGAAACAGCCATGTCCTGAGCTTGGTTGAAATTCTTCCACGCATTTAAAAATAATCGCGAAAAATTAGGGTCTCAAGGGGTCTGGCGTTAACAGTAGTGCTTCTGAAACACTGAACATTCTACCATTCCATATTCTAAAACAATGCATTATTTTATTCGTTTTGCGGAAAGGCAGCCGTCATCGCTTAAACTATCTCGTCAGTTTTAGTTCAGGAGCGAAATGTATTCGATTGTATCATATAGGGGAGAGCGGGGCCAGTTGAACCACTTTTTATATATTGACATGCACAGCGAAATCTAGTTGTCATATCGAAAAATGCACAATGCCATGAAAAAATATGCTCTTTTGGCTTTATTTTAAGATATGTAAAATTATGTTTCAAACATATTTTGCTGCCAAACGCATGCTTATAAAACAGCTCTACGCCCGTTTCAAATGACCCCGATGCGAGGGTCAATTGAACCAGCCCATGGGGTCAATTGCACCTATCCTTAACAATGGGATGTTTTCCTCTTTAAGGCCACTTTCTTTAGGAGATATTTTGTCCGGTTTACTTTTCCAAATGCTACATTCAATAGGTCGCTGGAAAGCTAAAAGTGCAAAGTTCCTCATAATAGGTGACATAAAGTACATAGACTATGGTAAAATGGGCGGATGAGGAAAATGAGAAATATCTCAGGCTATAGTGTGCTTTCAAGCAAAAGGCTGGAGATAAAGGGGTCAAAAATTGAGCTCTATGAAACTACTATTTCAGTTTAAAAGCTCATTTCAAAGGTGGACTATTTCCTTTAATGTTTACAGCCCCTGAACAATAACCATTGCAAAGGTCACCGGGGTCCATTGAAACGGCCTGTGGCCCTGTTTCAACTGACCCTCAGAGAAGCGTTTCAATTGACCCCATCCGCTCCCGCCATCTCGCACGCGCCGTAAAGCACATGTCAAACGAGCTGGAGGGACGGCATCATGCTGAATGAAGGGCCAAATAAGGTGTTATTCCGGAGCCAGGAGTTCTTCTTTCAGCAAACAAAGGTATATGAGATATCACAAAATATTCATAAAAACGACTTCTCCCAAACGCCCCTCAAAAACACAAAAACAAGTGTAAAATCAAAATTACCGTCCGTTTGCCGCCCAAACGCCGTTGACAAAGGAAGTGGTCGAGCGCGGATGCGCAGTGGTGTAGGCAACGCCATATGTTGCATACTGTTGAAAATAAAGCCATGTTTCATCTGACCCCGTGTTTCAACTGGCCCCGCTCTCCCCTATTGTTTGTCATATATTTGTAGTTATTACTTGTTGTTCATTCAGTGTAAATAACTATACCTATTACCTCTTTCCAGGAGTTCCTAGTAAAGTACGAAGAGTGGACGAAGGTCGTAAAGGTGAACCCCGAAACCTGTGACGACCTCAAAGCAGCGATGCTGCGACGCTTCAAGATACCGGATGACGTTCCCGTAGTAATGCAGATATTTCTTCAGAAATATAACGGGTATGTTGACGTGGAGCCAGGCACGGAGGTCTTCGATGGGGCTAAACTCCTGCTGAAGCGTACGAGGTGAGGTTAATATTGTTTTATTTGACATCTGACATTCCGATGTGACAATAGTTTGGCATTTCCTAACACTAGCTATGACTAAGCCTCTACTTTCTTGTGTGTGTGGGGAGGGGAGGGAGGGGGTGTGGATGTGTGTGTGTGTGTGTGTGTATAAATAAAATGTTAAAAGAGTATCGCATTGCTATATTGATGCGCCCTTTAACGTTGTAACGATAATTCCATGGAAGAAATTCCAAGTCATTGACTGCTTTAGGGCGTGCATTCAAGTCCATTTACTATGCCAATGACTGAACTCGAAACAACTGAAGCCAATGGTGGGCTAACCATTCTCAATATGCGATTCCAGCCCAGCCGCTGCAGTGACCTCACTGACCAGTGACGTATCGGCGTCATGCAGCACCGTGGACGTTGACGCATTATCCATTTGGTAAGAAAGGAGCATCAAGCTTGCACTTTTTACATGTTTGTTTTATTTCATTTGGTTAGTTCTTACCACCCAGTATTGTTCTCATTTACCCTCCAGTGACGGTAATTGTGGTAAAGCAGCATCCGGACAAATGTGATGACGTTCGCCCCCCCCCTCCTCTTTCCATTGGGCGTAGTTCTCGGAACCCTTCCACTGCGCGGGTTAAACTGGCGAGGAATCCCTATGCTTACATTAATAGCCCACTTATCCCACCTTAACATTAGTTTTGAGTTGATATAGTCAAATTGGTTTCCCTGGCTTCCAATTACCGGTTTGGGCACTCACAACATCGAAAAATGCTTTAATTTGGAGATATTTGATTTCAAAGTCTGCAGTTTTTTTTTCGGATTCTAAGGGGCTAATGCATTTGAATGTCCCTTAAGCCTGAAACAGATTCTTTCCGCGTTCAGGAAATCGCATGCGAGAGCCTATTCAAATACGTTATAATTCTTCCCGCATCAATCGCACGCACCTCTCGGATGCGATTAATGCGGGAAGAATTATAACGTATTTGAATAGGCTCTCGCATGCGATTTCCTGAACGCGGAAAGAGTCTGTTTCAGCCTTTAGAGTTTGTGACGTCATCGGAGATCTAGCGACTTTTAAATCTTTTACTAAAACCATGGTGAAAGACAATCGCTTCTGTGGTGGTATTTAGTGCCTTGCTCGCGACATCTGTCGCACTAAAAAAATTCTTCCAAATGACGTCATAGGAACAGCGGAGGCCCAAAAGAATGAACAAAAATAAAAGCATCACCTAAAATAACTGTGAATATTTTTAGTGAAATTTGGTAGATATTCATTTTTGCTCTTTTTGAACTACGGTACATCACTTTAATGCCAATGCATTAACGCACATGGGGGGGGGGGGTGCCACCCCCCGCGCCATTTCGTTCCTGTTGGAGATAGAGCTTAGCGGTAAAGACCAAAAAGATTCTTTGGGAAGAGACGAATCCAATGATAGCCAGTTTTACCTTCTCAGGTCAGTTATTGACCTTCCAGGTAAGGTCAAACTAAAAAATGTTGCTGTTTTGGGTCACCGCTGGTTATCAAGTGCGCTGCTTATCATATACCGATGACGATGCCGTTTTCTGGTGCCAAGCCAGCTAGAACCTCTTTGTCACACTACCCGACCAGGTTTTTGCTGTTGAGGTCATTTCAGGTCAAGTTAGGTCAAGGTCAATTATATGTGTTTGTATGTCTGTGTGTGTCTGTGTATACTGATGTGTGCACCGATTGTTTGTGTCCATATTACATGAAATCATGGTCTGAGAAGCTTTCACCAAAAATGCAGTAAAAAAAAATCACAAAAAAGTAAATTCCGCTTGCCTAAAACGCAATTATCTTAGATGACCTAGGTTGACCTTGACCTTGACCTTGACATCTGTACATCGTTAAACAACATGTTCCATGATAGGTGGGAGGTAAGACTGGCAAAAAAGGCCGAAATCAAGGTGTCAAAAGCTCACAAGGCCCATAGCCAACGCAAGATGTTGAGAATTGGCCATTTGGGTCATGACATGACCTGAAAACAAGGTCATATCTGCGAAACCAAAAACCACAGAAACTTAAAATTTTCAGTGGACATCAAGAAAGGATAGAGGAGCAGCTATACGAAAAATCAGCCTTCTAGCTCTAAAAATGTTGAGTGCAGAGCAGAAAGACTACCTGGGGGGGGGGGGGGGTGGCAACCACCATGTGCGGGCGAGGGTTAAGGTATTTAGTGACCAAGGAATTTGTTAATTATATAAAAAAAAACTTACTGTATGTATTCAAAACAATTTTTAAGAGTAAATGTTAACCAGTTACATCGCTAATGTTAATTATTAGCGAATGCAGGAACAACAAATAACGCTGCTTTTCGTCGTCTTTTCATTCAGTGACATCACTGGTGGATGGACTTCACCGAAGATGGACGCCAACGAAGTCGCCGAGGAGAAGGACATCAGAGCTGAAGACAGGCTCGTTACAATTTATTGGTATTGCCAATGTTGTGATCAGGGCTGTTGTGCCGATGGATTTTCGGTCACTCCGACACTGGCTTGAAAAATAGACTTACTCCAACTGTCTCTGACTCCGCACATATCTTAAAATCACCATGGTGGTAAAGTTCATGTCAGAGATGTTTTTTATCTCGTCTGAAATAATCCTTGGCGCATTCCAATGCCTTTCATTGCAAATAAACTCATTTCACATGCTGAATTGAATTCCGGAGCAAAATAAAGTTTAGCTATGTTTAAAAGTTATCGACGGTATACCAGGCAATGAAAATATAAGCAAACTTCACCGAAAGGTTCGCCCTCCAGCTACGAAGCCCCTAGGAGGCTTCGGCAGAGAATCAACGTTTTGTATTGAATCGATTCTCAGGCCTACCGAGACTCACGAGCCACCTGCAACGCCGCGTCACGAGACTCAAGGAACGCCGCGTCACGAGACTCATGGAACGCCGCGTCACGAGATTCAAGGAACGCCGCGTCACGAGACTCAAGAAACGCCGCGTCACGAGACTCAAGGAACGCCGCGTCACGAGATTCAAGGAACGCCGCGTCACGAGACTCAAGCAACGCCGCGTCACGAGATTCAAGGAACGCCGCGTCACGACGAGAGTCCGAGTGGCCTGAAAGTGGGCAGAAGGTAAAAACGACACAGGAACGGCTCCCGTTACGGGGGGGGGGAGGGTATGACCGTCTGCCGATTTTTGTGGTAATAGTGAAATCACGGTGCTTTGTGCTGTTTGATTCCTCCTAGACCCGTTCATCCAGGTCAAATTAAAAATTTGAGAATTTCTACCCTGAGTGACGTCTGGTAACTTAAGCAATTTAGGTCAATATCATGAATCTTTAAACTTTTGTCGGAACAATAGTCATGAACTATTTTTAATTTCGGATAATTCATTCAATGATACATGCTTTCATTGTGTTTCAGTGGCAGCAGCTCCAGTCAGCGTGAAGAAGCACTGAAAAGGTATTAGTTGAAAACTTGTTAGTGGGATTGCCTACAGGGTGATTTTTTACAGGGCAAAAAGTTTTTAAGCCTAGAGATACCAAAACATATAACAAACGCCAAAAAGTATATCCATGTGAAAGGAAATTGTTTGTCATTTTGTTTTCAGAGCCTTTTAAAGACTTCTTGGGACTCATTCTGTTGTGAAGTTCCGTGAAAATGGCGCACAACAAAATATTTTCCCCAAAATCGCCAATTACTCCAGGCTTGCGTGCATTAAAACTGTGCTCACTTCGCAACTGGCAACTGACGCCCTATCGCTGATTTTCGATAAAATGCGTTTTATTCGATGCTTAAGCGCATTCCCTAGAAGACCCGTGGCCGGCAAAACATTTTATCTTTGATCTGACCTGTGACGTCATCGGTGACCCCGAGGTCAATGAAATTGGATTTCCCTTGACAGATTTGACTGGGCTTTCGAACGCGGTTTGAATTTTGTGGATCCGTCTATTAGTTTCGGAGATACGAGGGGGGGGGCAAAAAATAGCCCCTCCCCAGTAATACAGTCATCATCTTCGTTTTCTGGTCTCTTATGTACTATGTTTCCTTATCTTTTTCAGACTGCCATTTACCGTGAAATCTCTCTCCACCGGCCTAAGGAGCAAGCTGGAGATGGAGGTCGAGCTGGCGGAGACCGACTGGAAAGAACTAACCAACGCTATCTTTGTTGGTTACACAGGGAAAGCGAAAAGCTAGTAAGTTACTGAATGTGAGATGTGTTATGAATTATATTTGATTTGTATGCGTATGGCATTACGATATTGATAATTGTTGATATTGGTATAGTTTCGAACATTCGAGCTAAATTTATATATATATATATATATATATATATATATATATATATATATATATATATATATATATATATATATATATATATATATATATATATATATATATATGTATATTTGTCTTTGATAACTAAAAATCATGTTTGCTTTTATTAACCTTCGCTCTGTTTGGGAAGGGGCCACACTCTGCAGTTGTTTACGTATGTAGAGACAACTACGATGCGCACTGCCTCGAAACATGACATTGCTTACCGTATATCTGTTTTGCATATTGTGTTAAATTTTCGTCCAGGCCACTTAAGGTCAGATCACCAGGTCAAATTTAGTAAATTTTCGATACTGCCATTGCTACAGATTATTATTACCTATAAGCTTTATCCTCGGTTTATTCCATGACGGTGTCGGAATCCTTTCGTTCCAGCTATCCTGGGAAGTCTGGGTACGACATTCTGGCCTCCGACATTAGTGATGCATTTCCTTACCTCTGTGGTGCTCTAAGCGGCATTGATGCGCGGGTTAGTTTTTGTCGCTTACATGGTGACGGAGCTGCAACCAATGCTTTTCTTTAGCTAGGTATTTTTGTGCTTCAGGGCTTCATTAGAACCTTTAGTCGGCTTGCTTTCCATTTGTCTTTTCTTTGCTCTATTGCTCTATGGGGAATACTTGCTGCATCACTTCCGTTCTCACCACACATACGTATAGATGGTGCTGCTCCCTGTGGCCCTAGTCATCATCTGGATTTTTTTTTTGCGATCATGTGGGTACCGATTAACCATTGTATTCATTGCATCCCAACAATCGCATTATTGAACATATCTAGCTCAATATGTTTACCTCTGTAATTGCTTGGATATACCCAAATCGGCAAATATTTTTATAGACGATGGTGGCAAGGGAAATTTGGCAACAAAATTTGTAGGTGGGGGCGAAGTATCAGATAACATTTACAGGTGATCCGTCGATCAGGGTTCACATTAGGAGCGAATATTTGCAAAGTTGTGGCCAGCAGCTGCTGCCACTCAATTGCGTGGTTTATATACCAAAGCACTCACCTACTTATGGCTCAGTTTCTTGCATCCAAAACGGAATGCTTCAGAAAAAGTCCGTGTTAGAAAGTTAGAAAGCATGCAGCTACTAAACGTGACGCCATTTGTTATCCCACGCCCTGTAAGTGCACGCCATTATAGGACGTGTACTTAGGTGAGCCTGGAGATGTTCATAATTTTTTATTGTTTTCCGACGCTTCAAACTGTCATTTTATCTAGCATTGTGATAGACGTGCTGCTCTCTATTGATCATTGCGCAAGCTTTTTTTTATTCATAAATTTGATAGATCGTCCCAATATGGCTGGCTTCAGGTTGCAACCAGCAATAATGTCACTTGATTTTGACCCGGGCCCCGTGGAACTACCGACGGGGGGTCAAGGGGGGGGGGGGGGCATTTCGCCCCCAGGATCTCTGAAACTACTTCACCCATGTTTAAAATTCGACGGCGTTTCGTATCCGCGCGGGGGAGCTATCACGTGACCATTCCATTCACCTCAGTGCAACCGATGGCGTCACAGAACTGGTCACAATTTTGACCGTTTATTGGCCTTCGGGTAAATGTGCCATATTTGCTGTTAGAAGACAAATTATCAAAAATATCGGGTTTAAACGTTTACGTCATTAAATTCAAATAGTTTTATTTTATCAAAACTATGGCAAATATTGAGCTACCGATCGCAAATTTAACTATAACTGTACAACTGTAACCGCATAACTGTATGCGGATGGACGAGTAAAGGTTCTATAACATTTATAATAGATATATTACTAAAAAAGGCAAAATTAGATTTAAAAGGCATTACATCTAAACAATGGAATGTTTAACATTTGATGGTTCAAATCATCGCTTAGCATGTCACTCTGACATCATTTGAGAAAGGCCTATACTTGTCGATGTCTTAAAATAATTGTATGTACATACACGACGATAGGGCTGAAAGGCCAGTTAAATGGAGAAATTAATACACTGGATTTAGATTTAGATATAAGCTTCCGAATTAAAATGATGGTCACAATGTGAAAGTGATCACGGTGAGCTCCAGAAAGTTTGGTGACGATATCTGTTATTAGGAGATGTCGAAGGAAAATGACAGGGGGCGTTCCTCCACCACCCCCCCCCCCCCTTCCTGCCATGTGCGTATTTAGTAGTTTACTGCTTGGAAGTCGCTAGTGCTTCGTAGTTTACCAGCCGAATGCCCGTTACTTCAGTTCAGTCCGAACTTTTTAGACCGTGTAAGTAACGAAGCTCACTTGGAACCTTTTAAAGGCAAATATTAGTGTCTTACCCTAAATGCTGAAACAGACTCTTTCCGCAGTCAGGAAATCGCATGCGACAGCTAATTCAAATGCATTAAATAACGCTCACGTCAATCGTACGCACCTGCCTCATACAATTGAATGCGAGCAGGAATTGATGTACCTATTTGAACAGGCTCTCGCATGCGATTTCCTGACTGCGGAAAGAGTCTGTTTCAGCCTAAAGCGTGGTCTTTCGTCAAGACAGAGCCCCCTGTACTGAGCTTGCTACGGACAACCTCAGCATGCTTCCTTTTGCGTTAATGTAAATGTCCAACTAGAATGAATTAATGTTGAACCTTTTTATCATTTGCACCCGAGTTATGTTCAATAAAATTTTCCAGCACCAGTGCTTAGCCCTTCGGGCCTATTTGCGCCCACCCATGACTTGATGTGTGGGATGAGACCGTAATTATGCTTATGCTGGCTTGGTTTTCTTCAAGGCTTTCATCAAGAGCAAGATCTCCAACAAGTTCGCGAACAAGCGACGGTACACTACAGACGGCGCGGTACAAAAAATGAAGAAGGCCAAACATGAGAAGGAAAGCAATGAAGGACTGCCAGGTGAGAACGAATATGTTATTTTGTCCAAGCTGGGTAGTTAACCCGCGAGTTGCTTGGAGGTACCAAACATGTGAGGGCGTGAAACACCCTCACACATACAAAAATGACATAGGTACTACATGCACACTAAATGCATACAGCCAATCGGGATACCGATACCAAGCCAAATATCCCATCAAAACCTATGGAAAAATGCCAAAAACTAAACCAACTCTGGAAATTGACAGAAATACCAGCTATTTACCAAAGTCATAACTCATAACCCCTCATACATTAGTGGATTCATAATATGGACAAAATAAAAAAGACATGGTCGAGATACTGAATGCCAAGTTGGTGTCTATTTCGTATCGGTATACCAAAACGATGATATCTGATTAATATCTCTAGTCTCAAATCACGTATCGAAATTAAATTAAGTACTATTGATAGGATCGTTCCCAAAACCATTGAACAGATGCGTGCACAAGCTGGATGCACGCCTTTGGGGGCGGGGGGCGACAAACGAGTGAGCGAGAGGATGAGCTTTGCACGTGCGAAATTGCGAGCAGGGCTGCGGAGTCGATGGATTTTCAGTGACTCCGACTCCGACTCCAACTCCCGCTTCCAAAAAGCAACTACGACTTCGACTCCGGCTCCGGGCAGAATTATCGACTCCGACCGACTCCAACTCCGACTCTCGACTCCGCAGCCCTGCTAGGTCTGCGGAATCGATGATTTTTTCGGTGACTCCGACTCCGGCTCCGGTTTCCAAAATCGACTCCGACTCCGGTCAGAACTGTCGACTCCGACCGACTCCAACTCCGACTCCGCAGCCCTGATTGCGAGGGGTTACTTCCAACTCACTGGTGCACGGCACCCTACTAACCGGTCTCTAGCGATTTGCCAAATTTGAGCGAAATCGGCCCAGCCGTACTCCAGATCTGAAATCGGCACTCTGCACGTGCGCACGTGCAAATTGGATCCCAACTGACTTTTGCACGGCACCCTACTAACGAGTCTCTAACCGTGTACCAAATTTAAGCGCAATCGGTTCAGCCGTTGTTGAGATCTGGAAGCGACCCCTGCACGTCGCTTGTGCAGCAGCACCCCAACCATGACACATGGGAGTGCATTGCCTGGTGGGTGTCTACTTACATACCAAGTTTCAGCGCAATCGGCCAAGTAATTACCGAGATATTGCAATTGCTACAAAGCTGATGCCTCTTCGTTTTGCACGTGGCACGTGCATAAGCGGTCACCCACATGCATCGGGAATAGTCCAATGCTTGGAAGAAGGAATGAAGCTACCCTACAAAAATTACCGCATGTAAATCGGTCAAGTGGTTGCTGAGATATAAGCCTCGCAAAAGCGTGACCACGGCCGGCCGGCCGGCCGCTCATACTTAGAAATTTCCGTTTATCTACGAAAGACTACGCTCGCTTCGCTCGCTCCGTAACCAAGCGCGTACACCCACAGAAGCAAGTTTTCTTTTTGATACAACCCTTGTTTTCTCTTTCCAGCGTACATGCCACCAGCGCCAGTGGATGATCTGGGCCAGAGGCGGATGGCGAACGAACTACTGGAGGCGACTTCGGAGCGAAAGGTGGAGCTCCTGAGGTCCACGTTCGCGTTTCGACGGAACTACCTGGTGAAAGGTCGGAACACCATGGCACGATATGCGGAACGGTATCCCGCGGCCATGACCTTGGATGCGGTAAGTATCACACTTGTTCGAAACAGCTCTTGCATGCGGTGATCTTCTAGTCTGTGCTATCAAAAGCCCCTTTGGCACGAGCTCTGAGGTGTCGCCTAAACTAGTACACTGCTGGGTTTTGAGCTAAATAAAGAACAGCCTTGGGAAGAAACCCCTCCCTCACCAAGATATCGTGTAGCAAGGCTGTTGAAATGCTTTGCAACGTTACCTAAACGCGATTAACTACTGCGGCAATACAGACGTTGGTACGGCGATGTTACATAGATCGGCTCCAGCATGTTAACCAAATGTGTTTTTGCGGTCTTTAAAGCAGGGCTGCGGAGTCGATGGATTTTCGGATGACTTCAACTCCGAGTCCGGATTCAAAAATCGACTCTGACTTCGACTCCGATTTCATCTCAGACTCCGGACGTTTCTCTTTAAGTCCATATCATGAAAATTAACTTCATAGTGGAGATGTTTGTATTTGGGGTATATTTGTTTCGGATCCCTAAATAGCTGTTTCTGGCACCTAATTGCTGTATAGCACCAAAAAAAAAGTTACTGGAACCTAATAACTAAATCTGGCACTAAAATGCTGACCAGAAGCCTTATGTTGCCAGATTATCTAGTTGGAGTGATTACTGGATTGGCCCTAGAATTGCAAAATTCTTGATCTATTTCCCGTCGTATTTACAAAGCCCATTTGCGACCCTTTTCTCGCATTTGTCTATTCCTATCACTGCAGGCATCGGTAAAATCCTTTTTGAAAGGATTGCATTCCCAATCAACATTCCTAGTGCCGAAGTGGATTGCATTCCTACCCGCAATCCCCTTTTTTCACTTGGATTGTGATCAAATCCGCAATCCTTTTTTGCAATCCTGTTGTATTATTATGTGCACTAGTGGATCTGGGGGAGGGAGGGGGGAGGGGGCATAGGGCCGTGCCTCCATCCCCAAATCACCCATTTCTAGTTCCTAGTCTTGCGAGTAATTCCTATCTAAGGCACAGATATTTTATGGGAAATATTTTTTGCCTCAAACACCCCCACATTTAAACCTCTACCCAACCAGTGTTTTATATTTTTAAAACTCTCCCTCAAATACGTAATTTTGCCCTTGCTATGTAGTTCATCAGCGTATATTATTTTGAGCGTTTAAATTAAAAGCGTTTAAATTATTTCAAGTTTCGATGTAAAGCCCTTGATAGCAAAGTACATTAAGCCGATGAAGCCGATCTCATAATATTCAATCGCAACAAACCATTTCAAAGCACTAATCAACCACAATACGGATTGGATTGCAAAAATTGGAAGTATGATGCAATAAAATCCGCAAGCAAATCCTGTTTTTTGGAATGGATTTCAACTCCAGGTGAAATCCACCAAAAAGGAATGCAATCAGGATTTTGCAATCCTGCAATCACAATCCTACCGATGCCTGCCTATCAGACAGAAAATTAACATACAGTTCATTGCACGCTTTCGACAATGAAAAAAAAAAACATATTCGGCTCAAGGGACATACGCAGCCGAAGATATGGCCAGAAACGACGGAGTTCTTTTAGAACAGGTGGATATCCAGACATATGTTCTGGCATTTCTTTGTCACACAGATCTGCAAATCTTTGTCCGTGCATTTATCCGCACAATATATCGATTACGCGCATTTCCCATATATTTGTAAACACTGATTCATATCTTCGCTCATGGCGGCCCCGCCGGTACCCAACTGGCTGTGACCAGACTCGGGCCATGCGAGCCCCCGGTATCACATCCCCGGCCGGCGAAGCGGCAGCTCCACTGCTTCCCAGCCCCAAATGCATCAGCCCCCTCTCACTCCCCCCCCCAGCCCAAACACATAGGAAAACTTTGTTTTAGACTGAGCAGCAGTGCTTAAGGAATCGAAATCCGATAAGTGTTTGGAATTTTGGAGAAACTATGTTGGGGGTATCCCCCCCCGCAGCGTCCAAGACCGCCTTTCTGGATCCCACAGTGTCCACAGCCACTGCCCTGCACCTGGTCATACAACGCCACACAATCCACAAGATCACGATCTTGTCCCGTACGGCTCTCCACTCAACTGCCCCTCTCCCGACGCTTCCTCACGTGGCACGCCGGCCGGCCAGACAGCGAATTATTCGCTCCCACTCGTCGTCAGCCGCCGGTCTCCTCCAGCCGGCGCGTCTGAGGCATGCCCTGGAATACAACTGCAGTGGCAACTACAGACTAGACATCATGGAATATTATACTTAAAAGCTTGACTCGGCAGTGCTGCCATTTACTTTCCTTCCAGATTGGTGCTACGCGCAGCATTTTAGTCCAGACTCTAGACTTAGAGCGGACTGTTCCGGAGAATCAGTGCCAGAAACAGCTAAATTGAGTCACTTTCCGCAGGCTGGTATTACCTAACAGATGCTGCAACCAATTTTAGGCTGAAACAGCTATTTAGTGCTAGGAATAGCTTTTTCTAGGACGCTATTAAATGACGTCATTTTTTGCCTGAAACGATCCTTTGTGCGTTCCAAGATCCCACATTGCAAGCATGCTTAAACCAGTAAAACGCCTTTTGGGCGAAGAACGAGCGAGCGAGATAGTGAGCCCTGCACGTGCGGAAGGGCGAGAGGGTACTTCCAACGGGCTTGTGCAAAGCACCCTTCTAACCGGTCGGTAGCGGTGTGCCAAATTTGAACGCAATCGGCCCAGCCGTTCCTGAGATCTGGAAGCGGCATTCTGCACGTGCGCACGTGCAAACGGGGTCCGAAATGACTTTTGCACGGCACCCTACTAACCGGTCCCCAACCGTGTACCAAATTTGAGCGCAATCGGTCCAGCCGTTCTCGAGATCTGGAAACGCCCCCTGCACGTGCGCACGTGCAGTAGCACCCTAACCGCAACACATGGGAATGCATTGCCTGGTGGGTGCCTACCTGTATGCCAAGTTTCAGCGAAATCGCCCCAGTAATTACCGAGTTACTGAAATGGGAACAAATTTGGCACCTCTTATTGTTGTATTTTGCACGTGCAGTGGGGGTCACTCACATAGATGAAGCGTATCCGACCTTTGGTAGAAGGGATGCAGCTACCCTATAAAAATGACAGCAAGACAATCGATCAAGCCGCTGCTGAGATATGGGCCTCTCAAAATCATTACTTTTGCAAAACTGCTTGAACACCCTTGACTTTTCACGTGGCACGTGCCACGGCGGTCACTGAGATGTATCAAAAGTAGTCAATTACGGGGTAGAAGGGATGGGGCTACCTAGCAAAAAAGACCGCAGGCCATTCGGTCCAGCGGTTGCTGAGATATAAGCCTCTCAAAAGCGTTACAGGCCGGGCCGGGCCGGGCCGGGCCGGGCCGCTCATACTGAGATTTTCCCGTTATATTGAAAAGACTTTGCTTCGCTCGCTGCGCTCGCTCGCTCGTAATAACATGCAGAATTAAAAGCAGGTTCTGGCGAATCAGCCGTCTTCTGCTTCTTTTGCTGAAAACGCTCTTCCAAAACAGGAATATGGCATTTTTCGACAAAATCTGATTTCGAAAGATCAACGAGCATAGTATTGTCAGGCAAACGGTTGCAGGGCGTGACGTTGAGCTATGCAGCATTAACTCCAACTCCGGAGAACTGTCGACCCCTGGGCAGAACTGTCGACCCCGACCGACTCAGACTTCGACTCCCGACTCCGCAGCCCTGCTTAAAAGTGACATGTTGCATCTGGAGCCCTTGAAAATGTGCCTATTGCCTGTTTGTAGATGTGGATTTATTGTCATGGATTTCATTATGTGCTGCCCGATGTACATTTTTGAAAACAGTCCGGATTTTCATTCTTGGCAGTAATCGTCCGCTTATTTTTGACACTTTAAACTGACCCGCAAGGGATCACACTTTCTACCATGTTACTCTTCATATCCATTATGCGGCTAACTTACACTGCTCTTTTCGTTTTTGCTAACACTCAATGCTTTTGTGTTGCAGATGTGGCTGGATCTTGCCCTCATGGAGGGAAAAGAGGCGGATCCAGCCCAACTCCAAGAGGAGGCAGCAGGGAGGCTCCGCGGCATACTGGCCAAATTCAAGGCCGTGACAAACTCTGAGCAAAATGGTAAGAACGCAACTTTACCATGTCCATTATCCTATTAGCTCTGTCGATTCCTGAGCAATGCGCCGGTTTGTGTAAAATTGTCAAAGTTAGACCTAGAAATTTGCAAAACTTTACCTTAGATGACCTCTGGTGCGCTGACCTTTGACCTGACCTTAACCTTCGACATCTCGTCAGGCCATAGAAATCCAGGAGCCGCAGCGGGTCGTGGGTTAAAGTAATAATTTGCTGATTAATGAATGCTTACAATTGACATGAGGCGGTCTTTTCCCAGAGGACGGACTGGTGCAAGAGCTCCTGGAAGAGTTGGACGGCGCCGACATCACGGCGCCGTCTTCGGCGCCCTTCATCGAGACCAAAGAAGACGGCCCAATGCTGGTTGTGGAGGGAATCGGCATCCATCTCACCACGTCCAAAGTGGAACAAGCCCTGGCCTGGGCCCTGGCCTTCCCGGCGCTGCAGCAGAAACTCCCGGCGGGGGGCTGTGGGGGCCGCGCCCTGAGATACGCGTCCGCATTTCTTTACCGATACGTACTGGGGATCAGTGGTGGGCCGCAGCTGCCTAATAGGCTCCTGCGCAAAGTTCAGGCGCTGCTGAAGTGAAGGCGACACCTAGCATGACTGACCTTTGTAGGTGACTGTTCCACCTTTACAATAGTGTTGAGTTGAGATAGTCAAATTGGGTTTCCTGGCCCGCAATTACCGGTTTGGGCACTCACAACATCGAGAAATGCCTTAATTCGGAAATATTTATTTTCTTAGTCTGAAGCACTCGAATCCTAAGGGGCAAAATCATTTGAATGTGCCCTCAACTTCGAGTGATATTGCCCCTTAAAATTCGAGTGCTGCAGACTAAAAATATATGGTTTCAAATTAAGGCATTTCTCGATGTTGCGAGTCCCCAAATCAGTAATTGCGAACCAGGAAACCCAATTTGACTATTTCAACTCAAAACTAACGTAAAGGTTGGATGGTCACACAGGCGGCGTTTCACGGCCGCTAGTAGCGCGCTACCAGCGCATTTCGCGAGCTGACGTTATATAATGACGTCACACTAATGACGTTTCGTATAATCCGTGAGCTCCTTCAAAGCTGCGATTGGAACTGAGTTGCTGTCGCGTTAAATGTATTTGATTTGCTTTCAACGCAACAGCAACTCTGTTCCAATCGCAGCTATGAAGAAACACGGATTACACGAAACGTCATTAGTGTGACGTCATCATATAACGTCAGTTCGCGAAATGCACTGGCAGCGCGCTACTAGCGGCCGTGTAACGCCGCCCCAGTGTTCGCTCGCTAGTACTGTTAAGAGACACTACTTCATATCGCAGAAGGCGTGAAGCTTTTGTGTTTGCTGGCGTGGTCAGCCACACTGCGTTGTGCTTTTTCGACGGTTGAAAGCGGTTGAAAAAAGACAAAGAAAAGACGTGCGACGTTGGATATGCAAGGTTGGATGTGCGACGTGCAAACGTTCGACAGTTCGACAGTTCTTTAACAGTCACATGCATGTACTTTCAAATACATGATCTGTTTGCAATGAATGCTCTTTTGCTGCAAACATGACTGCTGAGCGGCGAGCTGCGAATTCCGAATGAAATTAACAAGTGCAAGGGAGGTCTAAGTAGAACGTTACGAGGCTGAGACTGGTAGATCACTTACGAGTACAGGTTTGCTCCATGTAGTCATTACTATGGCAACCAAGATTTGCTTCGATTTGACCTAACGAGTACACGGCTCAGCTCCGTTAAGTGCAAACATGCGCAGGTCTTTACCTAGTAGCCGCATGATTATAACTAGGAACACAGTCGTTCGCACTACAATGACAAAGCAAACTTTGGTAGCTTATCTAACGAACTACATGTCAGTGGGTTGTAAGAACAACTACCATGACAAACAATATGGTTGTTCGATGACAAGGCAAAGGGTGCGGGGATTTGCGCTAAATAATTTTCCTTGTAAAAGTAACAAACGTTTGTTGAAATGAGTTTACAGTGTATTGAGTGTGCCTATTGAATTCTATGAGTAAAATGACCCATAAAACATGTGTCGCACATGCCCTTTTCTATATTTTGTTTTTTGGTGACCTGACCTGACCTGACCTGACCTGACCTTGACCTTGACCTCTGAATGATATTGTATGCAACGAATATTGTCTTGGTAGCCTAAGAACACGTTTTGGGCGATCAGTCTCAGTCCATGACTCCATTCTTCGGCAACTACGGTGCAAGGCCGATACTGTAGAAACTTGCAATTTGTACCCTTGACCTGACCTTGACCTTGACCTCAAACTTTAAATTAAGTACATGTTTTTAGTAGTTCGTGACGAGAGCTTTCGATTGGCGTTTGAATTTTCCAAATCGGACCATTAGTTCGGGAGATAACAGGGGGGGGGGTAAAATTTACCCCCCCCCCCCCCCAGCCCCGCGCGTTCGGCTGGAGACCCCAGCCCCGCGCGGGTTAAATTTCAATCACGCGAGAATCATATTTCACAGTCTTTATGCAGTAGCGTTAGATGCTAGTACCGTTTACCACACGAGCGCCGCCCGCCCGCCGCGCGCCAGCGGCACCTGGTGTTAGCGGCCGGCCGGCCATGCTCGCCGCCATTGGAGACTGCAACGCCCGATGCCGATTAGTATTTCTGCTCTGATCGGTGGACAATCTTCAGGCAGCCAGAAAAGACATAGATTGCTGTTCTGGTATGTCTTGTTTTGAATTGACTACCTACACATTCATGGTTCTCATCATCAGGGTTGTACTTGACTCATGAGTCGAGTCAGAAATTTGACTCAACTCTGACTCAAATGAGTCAGATTTGAGTCGAGTCGGATAAAATGTTGAGCTGTTGAGTTGAGTCAGAGTTGAGTCGGACAAAAATATTAAGGCGTTGAGTTGAGTCAGAGTTGAGTCAGTAAAATAACTTTTGACATTGAGTTGAGTCAAACATTTAGGATCATGAGTCAGCTGACTCAACTTTCTAGAAACAAGCTTTTCATTCCCCCCCCCCCCCCGCTTAACAACTTCGCCCTGGCTCTGCTGCCGGATTTTTTTCCACCCCCGCCCCCGCTCAGCAACTTTTTTAACTGAGTCAATTTTGAGTCAACTCACTTGACTCGACAAAAAATTTGAGTCAAGTTTGAGTCGACTCATATTTTCATTGAGCCGGTTGAGTCATGAGTCGAGTCAAGGGAAAAATCAGCTCCTTGTTTGAGTCAGAGTTGAGTCAGGGATTTCTGAAGTTGAATGATGAGTCGAGTCGGCAATTTTTTTTTAGTCGAGCACAACCCTGCTCATCATAGCTGCTTGTGGCTTTTGTAACATTATCACATTTTCTCGTGACTATTCGTGACGTCATTATATCTGTCGCGGGCTCTTTTTCGGAGACGTCATCAACATTCCACGCGGCATTTGAGGGCTTGGCATGATACCTATTTGCTCTTTATTTGTGGTGATCCATCATCATGTAAGCACTTCATTGTTACGACTTCATCATATTTCCTCACAGCTAGTCATGACGTGATAAGTTTTATATCAGACTTGTGTTGACAATATATTTATTCCTGACTATGCATGACGTCATCAGTTCTGTTCCTGACTACCAATGACGTCATATTTGTTCCGGTCGCGACTGACGAACTATCCCGTCCATGACGTTGGTTCTGACTACCAATGACGTCATATTTGTTCCGGTCGCGACTGACGAACTATCCCGTCCGTGACGTCTGTTCTGACTACCAATGACGTCATATTTGTTCGGGTCGCGACTGACGAACTATTTCGTCCGTGACGTCTCTGTTCGAGTCTGGTCAATCGCCGTCTCTGAAAAAAAGAAACAAAGAGACATCAGAATCATATATCAGAACATGGTGAAGAGGAGATAGATGGGAAAAGAGAGAGAGAGAGAGAGAGAGAGAGAGAGAGAGAGAGAGAGAGAGAGAGAGAGAGAGAGAGAGAGGGAGAGGGACACTGCAACAAATTGGGAGACGAGATGACGACTGGTGGTGGACTGGAAAACGAGATCGAGAAATGATCCTCAGCCGCGCTGGGCCCGGGGGTTTTGGCAGCCCAACTCCCTGCGATTTTTAGCAGATATATAAAAAACGACGGCGCAGAGCAACGCTTTTTTATGTACAGCAATTCATGCATCTTTTCCGCCCAAGTTGTGATAATTCCAGACCCAAGTCGCCTAAGGCCAGGTCACCAGGTCACGCTAAGTGGCCTCACCTCAGAAAAAAGCTGTGATGGAGCTTTCTACGGCCGTACAAAGTTAGAGAGCTCGTCATGGCTTCATCGACTGAACGATCGCTTTGAAACTCTCAGCTATTGGCAAGAGTAGCAGCATCTATCCAAATTTACATATTCGGAATATCGGTACCGGTGATCAACGGTCGGGTCAATTTTATAAACTCTCCATTATCAGTCAATGGAAGAAAAATACCTAATAGTTCAATGGCGTCACTTTTGGACGAACGCCATTATAGACACTCTCAAACATCGGGATACAGGTGAGTACACTTGACATACTAAATAGACAGTTTGCAGGTCTGTCACCCCGTATTATGTCCCCGAGGTCATCCCAGGCCCTGAAAGGTCCCCAGCAGCTATTTGGCAATAATTTTTGATAGACATGGAAGAGCGATACAAACACCTAAGGTGTATTCATATTTATTCAAGATGTCTGAATAGACCTAGGTCTAGGTCTGCCGTCTGAATAGACCTGAGGTATTATTCAGATTCAGATATTTGATGACAATTTAGTGGTTTTAGCACTCAGGATGACGTCACAGTGCTGGCGTCGTAAAATGTTGTCGCCCTCCTATATGGAGCATTCCTGATGTCGCTGAGCGTGAAACGCAACAGTAAATGAACTAAACAGCACCTGCTGTCATCCTGACACATCTTGGTACACTTCCATCTAGTTCCTGACGAGTGATCAGTCGTTCTACATATAAGTTGATATCATATGTCGGATATACCGTAAGGAAACTAGAAAGCACTTATCTACAATTTGGCTTCTGACGTCACTGTATCGTCATTGCAAATGGAATCAACACAAAATTTGGACACAACCTCGGCTTGCAATTAACCCTCGCCCGCACATGCTATTTTCCCATCCTAGAACGCACATGGGGGGGGGGTTGACACCCCCCCCGCGCCATTTCGTTCCTGTTGGAGATAGAGCTTAGCAGTAAAGACCAAAAAGATTCTTTGGGAAGAGACGAATCCAATGATACCCAGTTTTACCTTCTCAGGTCAGTCATTGACCTTCCAGGTCAGGTCAAACTAAAAAATATTGCTGTTTTGGGTCACCGTTGGATATCAAGTGCGCTGCTTATCAAATACTGATGACGATGCTGTTTTCTGGTGCCAAGCCAGCTAGAACCTCTTTGTCACACTACCCGACCAGAATTTTGCTGCTGAGGTCATTTCAGGTCAAGTTAGGTCAAGGTCATTTATATGTGTTTGTATGTCTGTGTGTGTCTGTGTGTATACTGATGTGTGCACCGATTGTTTTTGGGTCCATATTACATGAAATCATGATCTGAGAAGCTTTTACCAAAAATGCAGTCAAAAAACTTCACAAAAAGTAAATTCAGCTTGCCTAAAACGCAATTATCTTAGATGACCTAGGTTGACCTTGACCCTGACCTTGACCCTTGTACATCGTCGAACAACATGTTCCATGATAGGTGGGAGGTAAGACTGGCAAAAAAGGCCGAAATCAGGGTGTCAAAAGCTCACAAGGCCCATAGCAAGCGAAAGATGTTGAGAATTGGCCATTTGGGTCATGACATGACCTGAAAAACAAGGTCATATCTCCTAAACCAAAAATCACAGAAACTTGAAATTTTCAGTGGACATCAAGAAAGGATAGAGGAGCAGCTATACGAAAAATCAGCCTTCTAGCTCTAAAAATGTTGAGTGCAGAGCAGAAAGACTACCTGGGGGGGTGGCAACCCCCCCCCCATGTGCGGGCGAGGGTTAAGAAATAGGTATGAGTGCAAAGTTTCCGGTTTTTCTATCTTTCCCAATTGCAAAAATATCGTCGGAGAAGTAAAGGGGGGCAACTGCCGCCCCCAGCGGCCGGCGGGTGGCACGGAGGCCCAGCGGCCGTCGGGTACAAGGGCTATCGATTGCGCTTTTCTGCGGTGCTGCACCTGTATTCATCCTCGAGTTATGCGTTGGTGTTTCAAAATAAAGTTGGTATAAGTTTATAAATTGGTAAGTTATTGAAAACCATCGATGGTACATTGTCCGTCAAACACAAACTTCACTATCTGAGGTCACTGACATCAGGTCAGGTCACAGAGGTCAGGTCACTGGGGGTCACAATATGAAAGTGTCGTGTGATACATGTTTTATGGTCCATTGTACATGACAAATGCGATTATGTGGGTCAGGCAGCCTTTGGGGTCAGCTAAGATTACGTTTCGGTGAAGTTCAGGTCAAGGTCAGGTCAAGGTCAGGTCAAATTAGGTCAAATTTCAAAGTTGATATTTTGCATAAAATGGGTATCCATTCAATGCAGCTCGTCACGGGGAGTCCAATGGTGATCTTTGTTTTGCCCTACATTGTATAGAATTGCCAAAAATTGAGTTCGAAAATTTGACGTCATCATTTTTGAACAGTTTTTTTCGCTATAACTTGGCCTAAAAACGAGCTATCGATCTGAAATTTGGTATGTAGATAGAAGACGGTAGTTACTATCACATATATTCCGTTTTTTTTTTTGACAGTCAAAAAACTTTTTGGATTTTTTGCCTAATATATCTAAAAATTGCATTTTTGATTTTTGGGGTCAAAATTTAAAAATTTCAAAAATTCGAAATAACAGTTTTGTAGCCCTGTTAATTCTACACCTTTTATGTCTTAATCATTTTTCTGTACCTTC